TTTACAATTAAGAGTCTGACCGCACTACGCAGAGCACACCGCAATCTTCCAGCCCTGGTCAGCCACGCCCCCTCCCTACCTCACCGCTTCCCGGCGGTCTGAGGATTCTTGTGCTGAGAGGGGATGGCTCCGCGAGGCTTTGCCAGATGTGCTGCACCCTTGGTGGCGCCTCTAACCGCCAGTGTCCCTGAGAAAGCTCGCACGTGGGATCGGGGATTCCCCCCGTGACATTTACACCTCAGATCAGCCCCCTTAATATTCAGACCCGACATCAGTCCCCCATTAACATTCAGAATTCAGATCAGACCCCTTTAATATTGAGACCTCAGATCAGCCCGGCGTAACAATCACACCTGATATCAGGCCCCACTTTCCATTAACAATCAGACCTCAGATCAGCCCCCTTTAACACTCAGACCTCAGATCAGCCCCCTATAACACTCAGACCTCAGATCAGCCCCCCTTTAACGCTCAGACCTCAGATCAGCCCCCCTTTAACGCTCAGACCTCAGATCAGCCCCCTTTAACGCTCAGACCTCAGATCAGCCCCCCTTTAACGCTCAGCCCGCGCACAATCCCGGCGCACTCACCTCCCAGTAAAGCGCAGTTGAAGTAGCTGCAGAGCTGGCAGGTGCTGTTCAGGACATAGACGCCCCCTTCCTCCCTGACGTAGCGGAACGTCTCGGCCACGGGGATCAGCACCTCCAGCTCCCTGGGGTAGGAGGAGATTCTGTGGATGTCGACTCCGAAGCAGGTTGTGATCTGGAAGAAGAGCCCCCCGTGATAGGCTCTCGCCACCTCGACGTCCAGGGAGGAAGAGGTGAACCTCCCGAACCTCAGGCTGGTCTCGGACACCTGGAAGGTCCTGTCCGTGCCGCGGTAGGCCGTGTGCCGCCGCCTGGAGTTCCTCTTCATGAGCTGCAGTGCCCGGGTCATGTAGAAGTGAAGGGCCTTGTAGTGGAAGTTCAGCACGTAGTCCCCTCGCGACTTCCCCGCCAGGCTGACCTTCCCGTTGAAGGCCTTGTAGACGGGGTGGCCGGGCGGCCAGTCCGTGGTGTAGACGCCGATGGCGACCCCGAACTCGTCCCGGAAGCCGGCGGGAAGAAACGCCGGGTTGGCGGACTTCTCCAGGGTCAGGACCTTGGGCATCACGTCGGTCTCCAGAACCTCCTCGCAGCCCTTGTACTGGTCGTCGAAGGCGTCGAGCATGAAGTCCAGATTCAGGGGGTTACATTGCGCCTGCCCGTCGTGAGACCCAAATTAGTCATTTGTTACATCAAAACTTTATCGCAGCGGCTTCCTGTAATCAAGACCGCTCACTGCTACTTTCTCCTTGTGCAGGGTGACTGGTCTTGTCTCCGCCCCCTCCTGTAATAAAGACCGGTCACTGCTGCTCTCTCCTTGTGCAGGGTGACTGGTCTTGTCTCCGCCCCCTCCTGTAATATAGACCGGTCACTGCTGCTCTCTCCTTGTGCAGGGTGACTGGTCTTGTCTCCACCCCCTCCTGTAGTTTTCTGCTGACAGCCTGTAGTGGGTGGGGCCAGATAGGCCTCTTCCACAGCTCTGTTCTCTGCACAGACTATGTACAGTATAGTGATGGATAGTGGGAAAGGGTTAGCGCCTGTGTTAGGTTTTTCATTTCTGTCTGGTTCCCTATTGGGTAGTTTCCCCTTTACTTCCTGTCAGGACAGGAAGTGATGGGAAACCTCTCCAATGGGGACACAGACAAAAACACATTTTAGACTGGAAGGGTTGTGACCATGTTTTGATTGCTGTCTGTGCTTTCCTGTCCTGCTCCTCCATTTCTTGTTCTGATGTCATGTGGATAGGCGGTGAGTGAAAATGTAGGTGTGCTGCAGTGCAAGCAGCATGCTGATAGTAGGAGAGAGCAGAGGGACAAAGACATAACATGAGCTCATCAGTCTGCTTCTTCTCTCCCCCCCATCTCACAGGGTGGGGGGGCGACATGAAACTGTAGCAAGTCCTCTATTCTGTCAGGCAGGGCTGTACTGTGTGGCAGAGCTGTGTAAATCTCAGGCCTGGATGGGCACAAATGCCAATCCGTGGGCAGGTAAAACAACTCTCATATAGAGTATGGATATCACCTGTGTGCTTAGTGCCTGGAGTTAGGGGCGCGGCCACCTGTTGTGTTCTATTGTTGGTGTGAAGTATTCGGGTGTGCGGCGTATGTTACACTTTGTGTGTTTAGTTTTACCTCCGGCAACAAATTGTAGTTCTGTCCCGATGAGGCCCAGTTATGTTTTCCCTCCAACTTCCCCGGGGAGGTCGTCTCCTCGAAGTCCGGAACACAGTCATCTGCAACACAGGAGAGACGCCTCAGTCACAGGATCAGTTCCATCTCGCCTCTCTCCTCCCCCCTCTCTCTCTCCCCTCCCTCTTCTCTCTACCCCCCCTCTCTCTCTCCCCCTCTCCCTCTACATTGGTAGGTTTTAGTATCTTAGTTCAGTCTCACCTCTGGGAAGAAGTTGAAATGAAAGCAGAACTCCAAAAGCGACAAGAGACAAAATGCTTCAGTGTTCTCCTTCAATCCAGAGATTTCCCGCACACTATTTATATCTGCCACTAGATGTCCTTACTCTAGAGCCCGGCATCATTAAACCCACTTCCTCTGAGCCCAGTAACAGCGGTGACAGGGGCAGAAGGGCGTAGAGGAAGATACTATCTCCTATAACCAGTGCCGCTATCAGGGGGTATGGCCGATACCAATGTCAAGGGCCCGGCCCCCCCTCAGCCCACTGATAGCAGAGAAGGTGGAGGAGGTTTGGCGGGCAGGACCGGTCCGGTGATGGGAGAGTGCGGGCCCAAGCAGCGGCAGGTAACGAGCTGCGTATTCAGGGAAAGGGACCCCGACCAGCCCACCTGAGACCGCTGCAGAGCCCACCACGAAAAGTCTCAAATGGGCTGTGCAGGATCTATGGCGTGCTCTGCAGGGTCACTCTCAGGTGGGCTCTGTGGGGTCTTCGGTATGTTTGGGGTCTCAGGTGGGTCCTGAATCCAGTCTATTACTGAGGCCAGAGTCCAGTGCGTTCCTATATCCACAGTCCAGTGTGTTCCTAAGTCCAGTGCGTTCCTAAGTCCAGAGCATTCCTAAGTCCAGTGCATTACTAAGTCCTGAGTCCAGTGCATTACTAAGTCCAGAGTCCAGTGCGGTACTAAGTCCAGAGTCCAGTGCGTTCCTAAGTCCAAATCAAATCAATGACAGGCTGAACGGCTCCGCAGCTTCTGGCATGTGTATTTTCACACGGAGTGACTGCCTACGGCTAGAGACCGATGAGTGGCCCTGAACGCATGTGATCACTCCTTGGAGAGGGGCCGGGAGAGGAAGTAAGAGGAAATCCCCCCAATGGGGACAGCCACAACCCAAAATAAAAGTCTGACACTCGGCTTCAATGACGCACGGCCATCCGTCTCCTCTGACCGTTCTCTCACCTGCAGTGAAGCCGACCAGTTCTGGATACACAGAGAGGGAGGCGAGGAAGAGAAGAATCATCGTCCGTGTGTGCGAGATCTTCAATGTCCTACGGAGGGAGAGGATGAAACGGGTCAGGAGCTCCATCAACGTACTACAACCCCCAACAAATCCCTTGTGTAGTGTTTGTATCGCTCCCGCGTGATTGGGTGATGTCACCGCTGTGCTGCTCACTGTTCTCCTTGCCGGAGGCTCTGACATGAGCAAGCAAAGCCCCGCCTCTACCAAGATGGCCGCCTCCACAGTGCATATCAAGGCATGGCAAGCCAGACATTCAGCAAGTCATCAGGAGACGGTGCCAAAGAGGCCTATACTGGTAGTCACTATACTGGAATCTGGACCCCTATGGTCACTATACTGGAATCTGACCCTCCATGGTCACTGTACTGGAATCTGACCCTCTATGGTCACTATACTGGAATCTGACCCGCTATGGTCACTATACTGGAATCTGGACCCCTATGGTCACTATACTGGAATCTGACCCTCTATGGTCACTATACTGGAATCTGCCCCTCTATGGTCACTATACTGGAATCTGACCCGCTATGGTCACTATACTGGAATCTGGACCCCTATGGTCACTATACTGGAATCTGACCCTCTATGGTCACTATACTGGAATCTGCCCCTCTATGGTCACTATACTGGAATCTGACCCGCTATGGTCACTATACTGGAATCTGGACCCCTATGGTCACTATACTGGAATCTGACCCTCTATGGTCACTATACTGGAATCTGCCCCTCTATGGTCACTATACTGGAATCTGACCCGCTATGGTCACTATACTGGAATCTGGACCCCTATGGTCACTATACTGGAATCTGACCCTCTATGGTCACTATACTGGAATCTGCCCCTCTATGGTCACTATACTGGAATCTGACCCGCTATGGTCACTATACTGGAATCTGGACCCCTATGGTCACTATACTGGAATCTGACCCTCTATGGTCACTATACTGGAATCTGCCCCTCTATGGTCACTATACTGGAATCTGACCCGCTATGGTCACTATACTGGAATCTGGACCCCTATGGTCACTATACTGGAATCTGACCCTCTATGGTCACTATACTGGAATCTGCCCCTCTATGGTCACTATACTGGAATCTGACCCGCTATGGTCACTATACTGGAATCTGGACCCCTATGGTCACTATACTGGAATCTGACCCTCTATGGTCACTATACTGGAATCTGCCCCTCTATGGTCACTATACTGGAATCTGACCCGCTATGGTCACTATACTGGAATCTGGACCCCTATGGTCACTATACTGGAATCTGACCCTCTATGGTCACTATACTGGAATCTGCCCCTCTATGGTCACTATACTGGAATCTGACCCGCTATGGTCACTATACTGGAATCTGGACCCCTATGGTCACTATACTGGAATCTGACCCTCTATGGTCACTATACTGGAATCTGCCCCTCTATGGTCACTATACTGGAATCTGACCCGCTATGGTCACTATACTGGAATCTGGACCCCTATGGTCACTATACTGGAATCTGACCCTCTATGGTCACTATACTGGAATCTGCCCCTCTATGGTCACTATACTGGAATCTGACCCGCTATGGTCACTATACTGGAATCTGGACCCCTATGGTCACTATACTGGAATCTGACCCTCTATGGTCACTATACTGGAATCTGCCCCTCTATGGTCACTATACTGGAATCTGACCCGCTATGGTCACTATACTGGAATCTGGACCCCTATGGTCACTATACTGGAATCTGACCCTCTATGGTCACTATACTGGAATCTGCCCCTCTATGGTCACTATACTGGAATCTGACCCGCTATGGTCACTATACTGGAATCTGGACCCCTATGGTCACTATACTGGAATCTGACCCTCTATGGTCACTATACTGGAATCTGCCCCTCTATGGTCACTATACTGGAATCTGACCCGCTATGGTCACTATACTGGAATCTGGACCCCTATGGTCACTATACTGGAATCTGACCCTCTATGGTCACTATACTGGAATCTGCCCCTCTATGGTCACTATACTGGAATCTGACCCGCTATGGTCACTATACTGGAATCTGGACCCCTATGGTCACTATACTGGAATCTGACCCTCTATGGTCACTATACTGGAATCTGCCCCTCTATGGTCACTATACTGGAATCTGACCCGCTATGGTCACTATACTGGAATCTGGACCCCTATGGTCACTATACTGGAATCTGACCCTCTATGGTCACTATACTGGAATCTGCCCCTCTATGGTCACTATACTGGAATCTGACCCTCTATGGTCACCATACTGGAATCTGACCCTCTATGATCACTATACTGGAATCTGACCCTCTATGGTCACTATACTGGAATCTACATCCTGAGATAATCAATGTAACACTTTAGGACACATAAAGGTGAAACATTGTAACAAATGGAAACTTCTGCTCTAAACATTGCACAGCCGTACGGTATTGTGGCGGATTGGCCGCCCTCGGCAGGCGGATTGGCCGTGATCTGGTCCTAGCGGGTGTGTGACGGGGTGTGTGTGCTCAGCGCGGGTGTGTGTGCTCAGCGCGGGTGTGTGTGCTCAGCGCGGGTGTAGCATGACTTCTTCCTCTAGATTAATCATTGCATTGCCCCATCGCTTCCACACTAGCTTCACACGTCGCTCTGCCCTCCGGGTTTAACCCTTCCACTGCCCCATTTCTATTACAGCCACACATCACCTAGCCTTCCAGATGAACTCATCTGCTGCCCTATTGCTGCTGCATAAGTGTGATAAGTCATCCTGCCCAAGTGTCACCCATCGCTCTGCCCTCCTGATTAACCCTTTCGCTGCCCCACATAACTCTGGCCTCCTGATTAACCCTTCCTTCGCTCCATCACTGCCGAACAAGCTTCACACATCACTCTGCCCTCTGAGTTAACCCCCTCACTGCTGCACAAGTATCACCTGTTAGCTTGCCCTCTGGGTTAACCCTATCGCTGCCCGCACAAGTGTCACAGGTCACTCTGTCTTTTTTGACTAACCCTTCTCCTGATACGGAAGTGTCACTCGTCACTCTAATCTCCAGATTAACCCTTCCACTGCCCCCATCGCTGCAGCAGAAGTGTCACGTGTCACTCTCCCTTTTGAGGATTAACCCCTTCGCTGCCCCATTACTGCTGCGCGAGTGTCACACATTAGGTTGCCCTCTGAATTAACCTTTTAACTGCCCTTATTGCAGCTGCACAAAGGTCACACATCTAACATCTAACCTCCAGATTAACCCTTACATTGCCCCCACTGCTGCCGCAGTCAGACCTCGCTCTGCCTTCCGCATTAACCCTTCCATTGGACTCACACAACACTCACCTCACTCGATTAACCCTTCCAGTGCCCGATGACTGTTGAATAAATGCAACACATTCCGCTATCTGCCATTTGATCTCTATGGCAGCTGAACATGTTTGCTCTATACCGAGGATTACCCTTCCTGTACCCAACTGCTGTTATACAATGGTGATCATCCGGGCCCTCTGACGTGACCCTGAGGCTGGACCAACAACCCATCATTATTAAACATTAAACAGACACGACCTATGTCCTTTCTACGGGACACCACACCCTCAAAGGAACATAGACATATCAATAGAGATCCGGGCTATGAAGGTGTGCGCACTGATACACGTCTCCTTCTATGAGGAGCAATTCCAATTATTTATTCATCAATGGAAAGGGACATTTACATGGCCAATATCTCAGCGTTGTATGATCAATACCACATCAGATAAAACGTGGTGACAAACGCTGAAATTAGGATACCAACGTTTACACCAACCACATCTTCATATGGAACCATAGCGTCCTTCTATTGACCTTTCAATATATATATATATATTGTGGCAGTGTAAGGCAATGCCACGGTGTAGTTTGGCAACTATGGCACCCAGGACCCTCAGACAGAGGGGCTGAGAGGGTCCAGAGCAGTGATGGCGAACCTTTTTGAACCCGAGTGCCCAAACTGCGACGCAAAATCAATTTATTTATCTCAAAGTGCCAGCGCTGAAAATAAGGTTGGTATTGCAGTTTGGGCGCTCGGGTTTAAGAAACGTTCAACATCACTGCCTTACGGCCTTGTACGGCTCTCACGGGGGACCCGAACGTCCCGGATCGCCTCTCTGTAGTCTGGCCGGTCACAATCAGGCAGCGGCGGTGACCTCTAAACAGGCAGATTAGACGGCCGCTTGCGGGGGCCTCCCGGGGTCCTAGCGAGGAGGAAGCAGCCGTCTAACCTACCTGTTTATTGGCTGCCGCTGCCTAATTGTGACTGGCCCGGATCGCATACTAAGGCGATCCGGGTCAGTCGGATCTATTTCAATTGGTGGTCCCTGAACGCAGTGGTGTATTCTGGTTTGGGGCTGCCCTAGGCAAGGCAAAACTCGGGCGCCCCCACCCCCACTTAATTTACCCCACCCCTTCCTGTTTAATACTTTTTGCATGACCTGTTAGTCGCTGGATACAGTGTAAAACACTGTATCCAGCTTTTGACATGTTCCGCTATTAGCATAGCAGGAAAACTGTGGTCTCAGGGGCTTAGCAGGATTTGTGGTGAGCTCTGCGGAGTCTATGATGGGCAGAGCCCACCACAGATCCTGCACAGGCCCGAGACCCTGCAAAGCCCCCCACAGATCCTGCACAGCCCCCTGGAGGCCCTGCAGGGTCTCAGGGGGGCTGCCCAGGATTTGTAATGGGCTCTGCCCACCATGGGGCTGCAGAGCCCACACAGATCCTGCAAAGCCCCCATGAGACCCTGAAGTCTGCCAGATCTCAGAGGGGCTGTGACGCCCAATCGTCTCAGCTTCGCCGCTCAACTGGCCCCTTGGCGACGCCTCCTCAATCGCGGTCTCTGCCTTTGCCTCAGTCTTCACAGGCCTCTTCCATCTCCCCCTGTCTCCGCCCCCTGTCTCATGCCGCTCCGTCCCCGTCTCCTCACGTCCTCTCATCTCCGCCTCGATCTCACTCTGTCTCATGCCGCTCAGTCACCAGTCTCCTCCCGTCCTCTTTCATCTCCGCCCCCATCTCCCTCTGTCTCCACCCCCTGCCGCTCCA